AACTCTATGAGAAGGTGCTCCCTTATTCGCTTATTTAGCAATTTCATGAGCATTTGTGCTCAAACACTAGTTTTAAGTCTTCTTTTCTGTTCCCCTTGAAAAATATATAGAGTAAAATTAACTTTAATATGCTTTAAGATGAAAATAACTGGTGATTGACAAGTCATTACTGATACATGGACATCTCTGGTTCTTACAGATCTACCCTCATTCTTCCACCCTTTCACTCAAACAGGAAAATCCACCTGTTAGCCATATTGTTCCAGTTTGTAAAGCCCTTTATAAATGAGGACTGTGTGGAGGAGAGCCTCCAGTGTTACATCTATGTCAGTGATGTAAATTAGCCTATATATGTTTAGTGTTTCATGTTCTCTTTAAGGTTGTCAGGCTTGTGTATGGATAAGGAGAAACATGCTTTTAAAAGCTTTTACACTTTTATTCCCTTAAAAGGTGATTGACATCTCACTTACTTTGACTAATTACTTTTACTTTTGCACTCTGAGATATGTCTGACCCTTTTTGTAAAATAAGCTGATTGAAAGTCCTATAGAGACAGCCACATTTACATAAATCTTCAAAAAAAACCCACTTTCAACATACTTGAAAATCTGAAAATTTTGTTTTTGTTGTTTTAATTATTGTGGAAAGTAGAAGTAAATCACAATAATTTCGTGTTCATTAAAATGTATTTAGAATTTGCAAATTGATGATAATTCATCCTATTTGTCATAACACACGTCTCTTTCCTACATAAGCTGCCTTTGTAAGTTAAAAGTATCAGTATCTATATTTGTATCTGCAATACTGGCCCTGTACAGTGGAACCCCGACTTACGAAATTAATTCGTTCCAGAGGGTCTTTCGTAAGTCAAAATTTTCATAAGTCGAAGCACCTTTTTCCATCGCCTTTTGAGTGAGGCGATGTTGACTCAAGACTAAGTTCTTGGTGGAGGCTGAAGAAAGCATACGTATGCATGCATACATACGTACGTGTACATGTACGTATGCATGCATACATACGTACGTGTACATGTACGTAACATTATGGAATTTAATTCTAAACTTTAAAACTAAAACTTACATTTACGTTAATTAATGTACGTATGTACACTGTGCAATGATATATTTTTTAAATTTTTTTAAACTCGCTCATATTTATGCCTTATGCCGGCCCCATTATGAATGAATGAACGATAGGCTAATTGCAAACTAAAAGCACACGAAATAGCGCACTGCAACAACAATACGTCTTTCACGTGGAACAGCGAGACGCATTTCGCAAACGGATTTTGTCACACGGGCATTTTGTCGTACCACGTACAAAAATATTGCCGTTAAGTGCCTTCGTAACTTGAATTTTTCGTTAAATTCGTAAGCCGGGGTTCCACTATATTTAGTATCAGATCAGTGTCAAAATTTGCAGTATCCGACAACACTATCATTAAAACAGATTTTTGTTCCATATTATCCAGACCTTGTCTAGACTATGGACTGTTGAAAGATTTTACAGAATAGATGTGCATAGATGTGCAGTTCCACTGTGAGGTTCAGAAACTGTAGATTCTTTCATTCCTCAGGACCCTTTAGTATCATTCTAATTATCATTCTAATGCATTAGTAATGTGATGCAGTCTAATTATCTCAAAATCAGTTGCACTCATAACATGTCCTTGTCTTTGCAGACAAGCAGAATAAGTGTTTCTTATGTGGAGGCATGTTTTCATGCCTGCAGTTTAAGCGGATGCTTGTTCAGATTTTCAACTTTAATATAGTCCAACATTATGCTGACCTGCAAAGTTGAGACGTGAGACCTGTCCACATTTGAAATTTGAGGTTTGGGAGTATAGAAGGGGGTATAGAATTTTGATGCATACGTAGACTTGCCACCTCTTAATCCCTTTCAATGCCAGATTTAGAAACACTGTCTCCACATAATGTCGGCTAAACCCATGGCATCCTCACTCCTTTGCTGTTTAGTGCTGATATGATGACAGTGCAATACTTCAGTTTTCTGTTTTATTATCCACTTGTGATCATAAGAACATGTTTTTGCCTTTTTTGCTCTAGAGTTTTGGATGGTTTTAGGAGAAGCATTCCTCTCACTACCCTGTGTATATCGGTATACTGCATAATTTTTTTTGTCTCTCTCCTAATTTCTCTATATCACGTATATCATGTTGCCATAGCAGCACTTTTCCTCTTCTTTCTACACTCAGTTTTTATAGGCATTGGTGAAAGAAAAAAATACTTTGTCAAGTTATTTATTTGTGGATATAATAATTCAGTCTTCATTTGCTGCACCTCTCCAGTAACCATTTCATGTCAAGGCTTTTTAGTGTCATTGTGTAACTGCATTGCACTCAAGCTGGTGAGTGCCATCAATATCTGTGTGAGCATGCACTCTGAAGCCACTGATTGTTCTGTTCTTGTCTGTTCTGCTCAGCCAATAATTAGTTCCCCCATGCATCCTCCTCCCTAGACATGGGGTAAGGAGAGCAATTTTAAAGACTGTTCAGCTTGACATCAAACTGTAATTCACTGAAAGCATGTAACTATTACACAAAATGGCACCGTAGACCCCTCCAACCCCCGTCTTCCTGTTGAAATGGCAAAGAAAGAACTGTTTTGCAAAAGAAAGTCTGAGGATTCGTTTGCTAAATGCAGCAGCGGCCAGTGGCGGGACCAAAGGGAAAGGCCAGGTTTACACACTTGTCTTTTCAATGTGACTTTTGTGCTTGATAGCACAGAGCCAAAGTCATGTCAAACTGATGCCTCCATGCGTGACATTCTAATGCCAGCTATATCATGAGATTTGTTTCCACTCCACATCCGTAAGAATTGCGGTGCACTTTTTTTCTTTCTGTGCAGAGACTGGTATAGTTTTCTTTCCTCCTTTCTCTCCACTCTGTACGGTGTGGGCGCTGAGTAGGCTTTGAGTGACATTCCCCTTATTATCTAGGTTGTAACCAGTTGAGACATTTCAGTAAATGTCATTGGTCAAAAACATTAATAAGTAAGATAATAAAAAATAGTAAATAATATTTCAGTGTGTTACCTGTCTCTTGTGTTTTTCTAGTTATTTATATATAGATAGACAGATATATAGACCCCAACAAGGTGTTCTGATTGTGCAACCTATTTGCTTTTAATCGACCAAATTATGTACAATGATCTTTTTTTACATTAAGCTTCTAAGATTACCCTTTAAGTTTTCTTTCCGTTATTCAGTAACGGCATGCAGCAGCTGATGTTAAGCAATATCTTGGCATGCTGGGCTGTGCCTGCAAAAAAAGGGTGATTATTTACTACACAGTTCACAGTGCTGTAATTGTAAACTCTATTGAAGTTGTAAAACAAGCACCTTCTTTATTACTGTCACTTGGGAAGTTTCTGTTTTTGCACATTTGGCCTGCTGCAGACATTATTTACCTGGCTTATTGTCAAACAGAGATTTGGTCACACATATGGCTCCAAAAATGTGTAATAAAAAAGAAAAAGCGAGAAAACGAGAGGGCAATAGAAAAGGAGACATTTTGTTTCATGCACAACTTTAGTTCATGCTTCGTTGCCTGGCTTACAGCAGTGGAAGGTCGATAGAACATTAGCAACTGCCGCTGAGGAATGGTCAGCAACACATCTTGTTTACGACGTCGTGAAAGTAAATGGATTTGTTTGGGTCTGCACCTAATTTGAAATGCAGTAATGAAGCAGTCTGTTACAATGCAGCTGCCAGCCCTCACAGGCCAACCAACAATGGGGAAGGTTCCCGCTTGGGTTTTGATTGTATAGTACTGAGTATATTACTGCTGGACAAATTGCATCACAATTCTCAGAGCTGTTCTGTTTTATTAGACCCAAAATGCTATGGCACACAAAGTCACTGCTGCTGTGAGGACTTTTAAATTGTCGTTATATGTAACAAGTTTAACTGTGTGTGAAGTCGTTGGATTTTGTTCGCACACATCTCTCAACAGAAAAATTTTAATTAAAGTAATTTACCTTCACAGGTAGCCTAGCTGATTTAAATAAAAAAACAAACGAGCATATATTTAATATGTTCAATTTCAGCCTCACGAGTTTTTAAGTTGTCTGTTTAGAACTGTTAATTTTTCAAAGGAGAAACAAAAGCATAATTGGATTCAGGAGTATTCACAGGGGATGCTGAACCTCCATTACTGGAGGTCTGAGTTTCCCTTGAACCTGTCTTATTTTAGCTTGTGGAATCTAAAAAGTGCATCCTGTTTGTATTTACAAAAAATAAATAAATATACAGATTTATATAACATATGACAGGTTTTTGTGGATGCCATCACATAGTTCAAGTTCATAAAAAAATCTAATTTCTTATATTCCACGTTTGAAAGTGAGGTTTCTTTTTTCAGGGGGCATCTTATTTCATGCTGGTGTAAAGGATGTGGAAATGTTATGAATTCAGTCATGCATTCAGTTCTGAGGTCTCTTTTTCCTATTCTACAGGTTAACAGGATTTACCATCCCTCCACCTGTTACCAGTTCTGGCTCTATTTTTTCCTTGAGGCTTACCAGTGACTTTGCAGTAAGCGCTCATGGATTTAAGGTATCTTATGAAGGTAAGGACAGCATAATTTTCTGCTCTTTGTCTCTTCCTGTCATTCTTTCATACATAGTATGACAAGAAATGTGTGTATTAATGTGTAATATGCAGTGTTAGAAACTATGATGAAGTATCTGTGTTCATTTAGAAGAAAAATCCTTCTGCCAGGAGAAGGAGACAACATTTATTCTTACGAGAAGGGACCTGTGATCACACTTACGGCACCTGATTTCCTTTAGGGCTTCCACTGTTGAGTTATGGAAACATTAGGCTCTTCAATTAAGCAAATTAATCCAATATTTTCCAAATCCAACATCCCTCCCCCAAAGTCCAGAACCTTTCCTGCGACTCCAGAGGTGGATCTGAAATTGCTTGGCAGATGGCGATGGGAATTAGTTGAACTAATGGATGCACTGAGTTATCTGTGTTGGAGCAGAGCTGAGTGCAGCGGGGAGCTGTCTAAATATGAGCAATCCTTCTGTGACCATCTAGTTCATTCCTGCTCTTTTCCCCGTCTGCTGTTTCAGGTGAAAGCGTTCACTCATCCATCTCTGTGTCTCGTTCTTTTTCCATTCTTACTTTACGTTTTGTCTTAATGTTTTCCTTTCCTTCCCTCCTTGGGTATCAACTTGTTCGCTTGCCTAGTCCCCACGACCTTCTATCTGTACAGCCAATTCGAAAAAAGTTGAGATGCTGTGTAAAATGTAATTCTGGCATTTGAAATTGATGGCAGCACCATTTCTTAAAGAAGTTGGGACACAGCCATGTTTACCTCTTTAGTCTGGAGGACATGATGTTTATGTTTTCTAAAATGAATTTCAAATAGTCCATTTTTAATGAGCTTTGGTCCAGAAAGACAGCAAAATTTCTTGATTATGTTCACATTTGGCTTTTTCTTTGCATGTTAAAGCTGTGACCTGCATTCGTGGATGTCACAGTCAGTGTCACAGATGTCACAGGAAGTGTTTCTGAGCCTATTCACTGATTTCCTTGACAGAATCGTTCCTGTTTTTAGTGCAATGGTGCCCAAGAACCCGAAGATCATGTGTTTTCAACACTGATTTCCAGCCTTGTCCCCTGCACACAGAGATTTCTCCAGATTCTTTGAATCATTTGGTAATATTATGCACTTTAGATGATGTGATCTTTAAAGTCTTCACAATTTTACACAGAGAAACATTATTCTGAATTTTTATTATTTTTTTAGATTGATTAAACTCTGTCCATTTTAATGAGTAACTCTGCCTCACTTTTATTATCCCATAACTGGACTGTTGCCAGGTAACCTAATTAGTTACTCCAGCTGTCTCCTTTTTAATACCACTTACTTTTCCATCTCCTTGTTGTCCCCATCCCAAATTTTTGACCCAGGTTGCAGCCATAAAATTCAAAATGGGCTAATATTTTTCATGAAATTGTAAAGGTCTAAATTTAAACAGTTATTTAAATAGTTCTATAAACAATATGCTTATGTCCAGTTTTGGATAAATTGGGTTCATGAGATTTGCAAATCAACACATTGTGTTTTAAATTACATTTTACACAGCATTCTGACCTTTTTTTTTTTTTTTTAAAAACTTGTGTTATATTTGCTTCTTTAGCTTTTCTGCACTCTTCTACACCCTTTTTTCTTACTTTCTGCTTGAATCGTTCACTAACAGGCCGACCCCATCCTGGGGACCCTATATCTTCATCTTCCCACCTGCCCCAGACCTAGCCAGTCAAGGACATTTCCCCTGTCCATCTGCCACTGAGCCTCTTTTTTCCTGAGCTTGACTACGTTTCCTTTCCTGCATCAATTTTTTTTGTGTCTCTCTTGCTCTTCCCTGGGTGGTTTGGTTGTATTCCAGTTTCTGCGTGTTTACTCTCCAACACAATTTCATGCTGATGGGGATATTTAACACATCGTTACACATAAGGCACAGCTTTATTCCTGTTTTCTTAGCAGCACTGTAGTTAAAACTACAGTTGAGAATATTTGCAAACATGTACAATAGGCAATATTATATCAAAGCGGCTTATTTCATTTCGTAGCTAGTACATTAATCAGGACAATGTTTCGTTTGAAAATTTTACACTCTATGTTTCACTGTAACATGCAGTGTAACATTGAGTTTGTTAGGCCTATCACTCATTCTTTAATGGCTCATTGTGGCAATGCTGTTTCTCAAAAATATCAGTGTTTCTTTTAAATCATCTGCTGGTTTAAAGTGAGTAACTGAGAGCACGATTTGAGACAACCAGTTAGTATGAAAACTAATCCTGGTCCGGTCATTCTAACCTTCATCTAGTTGTCAAACCTTTGAAACAAGAATTCATTTCAAGCCTTTAACCTAACACTAAGCACTTGCTTTACATGCCTAAACCTAATCGCTGTTAGTTTACGGCCATGTGGTGCTGTTTTGATGCACTCATCTGTGACTTAACATCATAGCCTTGAGGTGCACTCTTCCGTCTCCTCTGCCTCATTTGGGCCTCATTTGGATGTTTACAGATTTACTTTTTGTCCATTGGGCAACACGCAATCTAGGAAGACTTGAGTGACACGTGGTGGCCTGTGCACTGCCTTTGAACCTACTACTCCAAAACTACTACTCCACCAAAAAATGTTTTGGTGGAGTAGTAGATTTTCTAGATGTGTTATGAGTGCTACATTTACAATTTAAAAAAAAGTTCAGTGTACTCCTCCATAATGTATTCATTTTCACATCTGAGTAACTGTCACAGTACCATTGTTCCTCATTATATTGCTGTGGTTATCCACATCTCGCACATGAATATGTATGTGCTGCTCATTCTTATGTTTTAAAATGTGTTATGATAGAATCATTATTGCAATTAAGTGGAACTGAATCTACATGCATTTGAAGGACACGACCAGATGGAGATGCTGTCAGTCTATTATATAGTTTCCTATAATGCACAACAATCCATCAAACATTCTCCAGCAACCAGTGGTTTTATTTATTTATTTTTTATTTGTCGTGCCTACTTTCTTGTACTACCACAATTCTGTCAGAGTGACCTTTATGCTTACTCACGGCCTGGAAGGATCATGCTGCATTTATAAGGGAGTGCAGATACGGGCTTTTTCTACAACACTGCTAAACAATGGCCACTAGTGCTTTAGAGATACAGCAGTGCATTGTACATGTGCTGGTAGCAAAGGTATCTGCTTGCCCTTTGTTGCAGGGAGTGTGTTTTCAACAAAACAAAACAAAAAGTATTTGTGTGCTTGTCTTAAATCTTTCCCACTGGCATTTCATCCACCACTGTTGTTTGAGGACTCTTTGAAGGACAGCTGACCCATACAATGCAATTTCATCTTGTCCCCCCGAATCATTTTATTTGTGTTTCATTTGTGTAGCAATCCAGAATTTCCACTGAGTTTGTATGTCTGTGCATGTCGATGTGTTATTTGCTCTGTGATCCAACATGGCTTTAGTCAGTGCTCTTTTCCACTCCTGCATAAAACAGCTCAGCTCGGCAGCCTGCTCACAGGCAATCTACCCAGGCGGCTCCTGTGGGGAAAGTATGCTGCATGCGTGCTCACAAACACTGCCACTCCATCAAACTTCCATCTTCTTCAAAGGGCTACACAGTCATTAGATATACAGGGGGAAAAAATAGCACAGCCCAAGAGAAATCTCGCACCCAACTACCCCATTTGCTATTTCACATAACTCACTCGTTACCACTGTGATGAGGATAATGCAAGCCATTCTCATTGTCTTTATGTAAATTTTAAGCAAAAACTGAACAGCAGTGTTTGCTATGAGGATGTTCTGGTCTTTTGTCATTTTTCTCTTTTGAAATACATTTGACATATTCTGTTAACATTATTGTAAAGAAGAAATAATTTCCCCTTTTTCCTCAGACTTTACATATAATTTAGACTTTATTTCGCACAGTGGGCAATGCTTTGTTAAGCTAAAAGACCTCAGTTTATGAGGTAAATTTGCATTCACTGTTCCACCAAAAGTCAAGTCTGCACAGGTTTTCATGTTTAGCACAAGCCCCTAGTGTTGGGGAGCAGCTGTTTTCACAAGGTTCGGTTCTATCAACAGTTTATTTAAGGCCCTCCAGACAGCACCACTTGTTAGCTCAAGGCTAACACTGCATCTCACACACTTAATATCTTTAGGGGGTTCTTTAAATCCTCATAAAATCTGAAACCCTGATTCAATGTTACGTGCGGGCTCTTATTCAAAGTACTACTTTCTTTTCCTAAAAATTTCCATGCGGTTACATAGCGAACAAGTTTTAGTACTTTTCCCCCTTCATATGATAAAAGACTTTATCTAAAGCAACAGCTTCAAATATCTGCAATGTGTCCTGTGAATTCATTCAAGGGCTACGTCTGTCTGACACATTAGTTATGACTTTCCATACACCGAAGGGCAGTGAGTCAGTGCGGGTATAAATATAGTGGGGATGCATCTATCACTTTTTAATTAGTGACCTGGGGTTACTTTTTCAAAACATTTACTTTCGAGAAATAGTCCTTTGCTTCACTCTGTAGTTCTCTTAAAGAGAAGTCTGGACTAGATTGCCTGAAATTTACCCTAAGCAAGTTTCAATGGTATATTAGTCTGTCGTATTTTTTAGTTTAGTTTTTATTTTTGCTCTTACAGAGAATGGGCATAAGACCTGTGAATCTATACATCAGATTCTTTAGCAACATTGAGCCCTGAATAAACATCTACAGTTTTTAAAATTTTTGAAGTTTAATACTTTATCTAAAGCTTAAAAATGCTTGAAAAAACATTATATCTTTGCAAAAGAAATCAATACAAGTCCATGAGAAGTTATTGAGGAGAGTTAAATTTCTTATAAAATGTAATGTCATCCTGAAAAATAATTTCATCACATTTTTATTTGGCTGAGTGCGGTCTGCCCAATGTCCCAGCAACATCTGGTAGCTGAAATTAAAACTGGCTCTGTTCAGGCACAAACTGAGGTTCACAGGGTACAATCTGCTTTTGGGTATGGTTTGGAGCCCATGAATCAAAGGAC